GCATTCTGTCCATCTACAACTACAAAAAAATATATAATTTAAAAAAAAAGAAATGAGTTTATAACACATGACCAAGCATATTTGAAGGAGAATCAAATAGAATTTTTAGACATAGCTGATTAAACACAGCTGAGAAGGGTATTAATAAACTGGAACAGGAATCTAAAGAAGTTACCCGATTACAGCATAGAGAGATGAGGAGCTAGAAGATTTTTAAGAGAGAGAGAGGACAGAATGAGAATGCCTAAAATATATCTAATGGAGAGAAAAGGAAGGTAGTATGCAAAAAAATGTAACCCCAATATCCCATCATGATGAAAAAAAAATACTCAATGAACTAAGAACAGAAGAGAACATCTGCAACCTAATAAAGGCAGATCCTAAGACAGACCCTCTAAGAATGCTACTCAAAAGTGTGGCCCTAGTCTAGCATCCTGGGCATCATCTGAGAATTTATTAGAAATGCAGAATTTCAAGTCCCATTCTAGACTTAGTATATCAGAACCTGCATCCTAAAAAGATCCCTGTGATTTTGTATATGAACTAGGATGAGAATTACAGTTCTGGGGGACCTTCATATAACAACCCCCATTTACTCAATCCTCTTTGAATGGGCTTCAGCTCCTCATAGTCATCAGTGAAGATGTCACCTAAATGGAAAGAATGAACTCAATTGGAGGAAGGGCTTTCTAGTCAAGCTACCAAATCCAGAAGCTAAGAAAGACAAAATTTGTGCTATGAGCTGAATGTTGGTGTCACTCCAAAATTCATGTATTGAAACATAACTACCATGATGATGGTATTAAGAGGTGAAGCCTTTGGGAGGGGATTAAGTCATGGAGACTCTGATCTTATGGATGGAATTAGTGCCCTTTTAAGAGGCCTGAGAGAGTTTGTTAGGCCTTTGCCTTTCTACCATGTAAGTTGCCACACACTAGAAGGTACCATCTTTAAGCAGAGAGCCCTCACCAGACACTTAGACTGCTGAACCCTTGATCTTGGGCTTCTTAGCCTAAGATCTGTGAACAATTTCTGGCTTTTTTATAAATTACCCAGTGTAATATATTTTTTATGGCAGCTCAAATAAGATGCTCAATGTAATAAAATCAATTTAAAAAATAACAAAAAAGTAAAGTCAAAAGACAAACAACAAATAGAAAAAAGTAGTTGCAATTCATACAAAAATATAACTAATATATAACAAATTCCTACAATTAAGAAATAAAAGAATAAAGTTTATAGCATCTGCTGGTAAATGGATGGAAATGAAGAATGTCATTCTAAGTGAAATAAGCTAGAGTCAGAAAATCAAGGGTTAAATGTTTCTCTCTATGTGGAAGCTAGAGTAAAATAAGGGAAAAAAGAAGGAGGGAGTGGGATCAGATATCATAACAATATAGGGAATATCAGTAGAGTTATAGGAAGACATATGGAGGGAGGAGGGACAGTAAAGGAGAAAATACAGAATGGATTTAACAAAAATCATGTTATGTACATATATAAATATACCATAGTAATTCCACCTTTATGTATATGTAGAAAGCACCCATCAAAAATAACTAAACAGGGGCCTGGGGATGTGGCTCAAGCGGTAGCATGCTTACCTTGCATGCGTGTGGCCTGGGTTCAATCCTCAGCACCACATATAAACAAAAATGTCCACCGAAAACTAAAAACTAAATATTAAAATTCTCTCTCTCTCTCTCAAAAAGAAAAAATAACTAAACAGCTTGGCACGGTGGCATAAGCTTGTAATCCTAACATCTTGGGAGGCTGAGGCAGGAGGATCACAGGTTCAAAGCCAGCCTCAGCAAAAGTGAGGCGCTAAACAACTATAGGGCTGGGGATGTGACTTAGTGGTCAGGTGCCCCTGAGTGTAATCCCCAATACTCTAAAACCTTAAAGATTAAAGGAAGATCAGTAAAGTAGAAGAAGGAAACAAGGAGGAGGGAAAAAGGGAGGGAAAGGTCAGGGAATGAGAATTAGAATGCAATAATCAAAATCCATACAGGTATGATTTTGTCAAAATAAACCCAACTACTGTGTATAACTGTCATGCTTTAAAAAAAAGAATAAATAGAAACCTTACAACCAATAGAAAAACAAGCAAAAGGGGCTGGGGATGTAGCTTAGTGGTAGAGTGCTTACTAGCATGTGTGAAGCCCTGAGTTCAATCCCCAGTATTGCAAAAAATAAATAAAAGAAAAACAAGCAAAAATTTGATTAGTTTGCAAGAAAAAAATTTTAAAAAATTAAAATGGTGCTTCAACATTCAAAGAGATTCGCTTATAGTAAGAGAAACACAAAGCAACACTGAGAAAAATTTTCACCCTTCAGATTGGAAAACAATACAAAAATGGTATACCATTTATTGTGAGCATCCTATAGGCTGATGAAAGGGTACAGATGGGTTTAACTCTAGGTAGGCAATTTGGCAGACCCATCAAAAATACAAATGAACTTTTAACCAAGAAATTCACTTCTACAAAATTGCTTTTCATGTACAGTCACACATATGTGTAAACCCACATTTGTAAGAGCTCAGCTATACTTGTATTAGTAAAGAGTATCACAAACGAAATAAAAAGAGGGCCTGGGTTTAATTGCCAGCACCACAAAGTGAAAAAAAAATAATTAAAGTCCCAGTCACTTAGAGGCTGAGGCCAGACTCAGCAAGCTCAAGGCCAATCTCAGCAACTCAGTAAGACACTGTGTCTGAACAAAAAATAAAAAGGATTGGAGATGTAGCTCAGTGGTAGAATGCCCATGGATTAAATCCCAGTACTAAAAGAAAATATTTGATACATCCTCATAGGTTGACGTGGAATGATCTTTAGAATGTATTGCTAAATAGGAAAAGCAAGTTTCTCCTGTCAGAGAGTCAATGGGAATTTAAAAGATGTGCTTGTATTTTCATGTTTTTGTTTGTTTGTTTTCCAGTACTGGGGATTGAATTCATGCATGCTAGGCAAATGCCCTACCACTGAGCTACTCCAGGCCCTTTCTGTTTTTATTTTATTTTTAA